TGCGTGCAGGCAGGTGATCTTTCTTCACTTATCTTCATCATTGTCTCATTTTCTTAGTGGGAAACGTAGAATGCAAACAAGATAAAAGAAAGTCAAGGGAAGAAAGAGAAGGGTTCCTTTTTGTGGTGAGAAGGTAGTCGGAAAGCAAAAGGAGACTCCTCTTTCATTCTGTTTATCCCTGCCTCTTAGAGTCTTTTTCGGAAGGAAGAGAAAAGAAAATATGCGGATAGGAAGGGAGCCTTTCTTCGATGGGAAAAGTGAAAGAAATGCCCCCGCACCTGTCACACAAAGCAACAGAAGAGAAAAGAAAGGAAGTTATAACAGTGCAGAAGGAGGCGAGGAAACACTAGAGGCCGCCCTTCTTCTGTCCGTTTGAGCGTGACGAAACAAAAGAAATGGAAAGATGAAAGTCGGGAGGGGGGCTGGTAGCTGTTCCTTTCTTTTCCGAACCAGGATTCCAGGATAGCGAAGGAAATAGTAGGGAAAGGCCCTCTTTCTTCTTTCGTGTTTATTTATGTCTGCACTGTGCAAAGAAAAGAAGGCGGGGACAGGCCGTTTAGAAATGAAAGCAGGCGATCTTTTCATCCATTTTGGTCACCTTTCTATTTATTGAGCTGTAAGGGGCTCTCTATCTCTCACCTCTCTCCCTTGTCTTCTCCCTTCTGCTTGGAGTGAGAAAAGAAAAGTGAAAGGAAAAGTGAGAGGGAAAATGAAGCCCTCCTTCCATTCTGAAAAATCAGCAGAGATAGGAATAGAAGAACTCCGAAGATAGGAACACAGGAACGTCTGCACATGATTCTTTCTTTTTCCTCCTTTTCTTTCTAGATTCTGGGTTTAGGAGTTAGAGTTTAGGAAATACGGTATAGAGTTTCTTGTGTAGGGTTTTAGAGTGTACGAATTTGTGGTCAGGGTTCCGGGCTTAGGGTCTGAGATTGCAAGAGCCAAAACATTTATCAGTCCGAAATGAGTTGTCTAAGTGCGCATATGCGTGAGACGTTGTTGGAGAAGTAGCTGGGTTGTCTTGGATATGCTAAAATTGATTAATAATCCCAGGCGGTAGCTTCTAAATAGACCCTATTTTGCTCAGCCACTCCCCCCCCCCCCCCGCGAGCCAGTTCAACAGGTGGAGCCCAATGCTGTTGCTTTGAATGGATGCTGGAGCCTGCAGTGAATGGTTAGTGTAAAGGAAGCCTGGTCTGGGACGCTATATCCCCCCCCCCCCCCCCGCCGTGACACCCAGTTTCAACAGGCTGGAGCCCAATGCAGTTGCTTGAATGGCTGCTGCAGCCCAGTGCGCTTGAATGGTTATTAGTGTCACAAAGCAGCCTTGTCCTGGACGCTATCATCCCCCCCCCTCGAGACCCAGTTTCAACAGGCTGGAGCCCAATGCTGTTGCTTGAATGGCTGCTGGAGCCCAATGCTGTTGCCCAATGCTGTTGCTTGAAGGGCTGCTGGAGCCCAATGCTGTTGCTTGAATGGTTAGTGTCACAAAGCAGCCTTGTCCTGGACGCTATCATCCCCCCCCCCCCCGAGACCCAGTTTCAACAGGCTGGAGCCCAATGCTGTTGCTTGAATGGCTGCTGGAGCCCAATGCGCTTGAATGGCTTAGTGTCACAAAGCAGCCTTGTCCTGGACGCTATCATCCCCCCCCCGAGACCCAGTTTCAACAGGCTGGAGCCCAATGCTGTTGCTTGAATGGCTGCTGGAGCCCAATGCGCTTGAACGGTTAGTGTCACAAAGCAGCCCCCCACATTTCAACAGGCCCGAATCGCGCGGTTTCCTGAATCGCATGGTTTCCTGAATCGCGTGGTTTCCTGAATCGCGCAGTTTCCTGAATCGTGCAGTTTCCTGAATCGCGCAGTTTCCTGAATCGAGCAGTTTCCTGAATCGCGTGGTTTCCTGAATCCGCTGGTTTCCTGAATCGCGCAGTTTCCTGAATCGCGCAGTTTCCTGAATCGCGCAGTTTCCTGAATCGCGTGCTGTCAGTTTCCTGAATCGCGCGGTTTCCTGAATCGCGTGTTTTCAGTTTACTGAATCTTGTGGTTTCCTGAACCGCGGTTTCCTGAATCGCGGGAAAATAGTTTCCTGAATCGCACAGTTTCCTGAATCGCGTGGTTTCCTGAATCCTGGTTTCCTGAATCGCGCAGTTTCCTGAATCCTGGTTTCCTGAATCGCGTCCAGTTTCTGAATCGCGCATGGTTCTATTTGGTCAGAGTTTACTGAGGCTGCAGGATTTGTAATCCCGAAATGGGTAGGACTTGTTCCACACAAAAGCCCGGACTTGTTTGCCCTCCCCCCCCCCCCCCGGATGGGCCCAAGAAGCGACAGAAAGTGCCTCGCCCCCTAAGATGGCAATCATGGGCCCCAGCAGCGACAGAAAGGCCCGGACTTGTTTGCCCTCCATCTGGCCCTTAATTCTCAGCCGTCTGCCCCCGCCATGAATTCGTCTGATCGTCGCCGCTGCCGCGGCCAGGGAGGGCGAGGATGCTTTGGCTGCCCTTCGCCACCAGCCCTGCGTGCGGCTGCTGTTGTGCCGGAGACGCCAATTGTGTGAACTGGGAGCAGTGAGCACGGGAATTTCGGTGTTCTGGCCTGATGGTCTGGTGCGCCAGGTCTCCCCTGGGCAGCCGGAGCCGCGGGCCTCCGTTCATAGCACGCCACCCAGTGCCCGTTCTCCGGCGTCATGCTTTTGGCATTTAGGCGCGTTGTCGTGTCCGGCCTGCGGGGTCCGATTGGGTGGTTTTGTTTGTGTTTCGCGCCGCCCTGAGCAGCAGCGGCAGGCATGTGGAGAACCTTCTTCAATTATGTACTGCTGGTCAATCGGCTTGTCGTTTGCCGCGGCGAGCCGCTTCCTTTACACGAAGTCTCCGAGCACGGCGCGTTGAGGGGCCGATGTCCACCGCTTTTGGGCGACCTCTGTCCTTCGCAACGGTCGCAGCGTCAGTGTCGTGGTGTATCATGCACGGGTGGGTGGGCTTTTCAAAAACAAGATTTGTTTTCAAGATGAGAAACAAAAGCTGGGGTTTGGAAGGATACAACAAACAGGGCCTGGAACAGATTCCGCTGGAGGAGATGTCTGCAATGTGGGAGTGCTGCAGAGCAGATAGAGTATGTGTTGCACCGCCACGGGTAGTAAAAATGAATGTTAGCAGAGCTCTGACAGAATTGGCCCCCGAGATGTCGATGTTGCCTCGGTGCTGCGCCTGTTTTCTTCAAGAGTGCACTTGTCGGCCTTTGAGGGGCTACCATACGCATGTTCACATATATTTATATATACATATATGTACACATGTGCATGAATGTGCTTTCTTGTGAATCCAAAACTGAGGAGAGATCTGGACAGAACCTCCCACCGACTGGATAACAAATCCGGGCAGCTGTTCGTCCTCTTGGGCAGAGCAGAGGGGGCACCAGAGAGCTCACCAGAGAGAAGTCATAAGTGCCCAGAGTTGAACTGGCAAGGCCCAAGCCTCTGCAAGCTTTTGGAAGCTGAGGATATGCCTGCGGCATGAGCCAGGGAGATCGAACGGCTCAGATCTTGTGAAAGGCGCTCCGTCCAGTTCACGGCGACCCATTCCATTCTACTGGTTCGCGCTTGGGCACTTCAAAATATCAATCGTTCAGCTATCCAATCTGTATGTACAATCGCAATGTCAGCCAAAACAATGCGCATAGAGAGGATCCAGTTGACAGAGCCCAAAACATGTGCACCAAACGTGCTGATTAAGCACAAGCTTTGGTTCTCGAATTTCGAGACTGAGAGCCTTCACAGCCGGTCCAAGCACCAACGAACGGGAAAACTAACTGCAAGGCCATGCAACAACACGGACTTGGCGATTCTCGAACTTCTTACTGGTTGCCTGCTGGAGCTGCAATCTGCCGGGAATGACAGGCGCGGCTCCGAGGAAGCTTCCGGGCTGTCGTCCGGGTGGGCACATTGTCGACCTGGCACATGGAAGCACTGCACTACTGCACTGCCCCAGAAGGCCACCCGGCCCCTCCCCCCACATGTAAGAAGGGCACCGAGCTGGAAGCGATATGCACCATCCCCAGCTTCTGTGAAATGGAGATTCTTGGCCTCGGAGGCAACCGGGAATTCGTTTCCTAACTCGCTGACCTGACACGCTGTGCAGCCACAACCACCCAAACCTCACAATGATCCGTCTGGTGCCCTGCTTTTCCCTGCCATCATGGAACGGCCAATCCAATCCGGTTTAGCGTATAGGGTTGTTGTTCAACCAGTTCCTCTGTTCGGCACAGAAATAGTCAGCATCGAAACCGCATACACCGCACACCTGGACACAACTACAAAATGCATCACTGAACTATGGAAGCTTTAAGCTTGGGATGGGTGAAGCCTACCAACTCCAAGTGTATTGTCAACAAAAGGTACAAGCACTTAAGAGCTTGCCACGCTTGGCACGCATATCATCAGGGAGTATTGGGCCAGTCTTGGGCGGTTCCCGACCAGTCATAAGCCGGGGCGAGGCGGTCGAAGAGCGCAGCGTTGAGATAACGTTGTGAAACGGTTTCTCTCGCTTCTCTCACTATCCGATTTGCTTTTGTGAAGTCATGGTCTCAAAATCCACTCCTTATGAAGAAAGTTCACCAAGGCCCGGGGCTGGCTCATCCGCACAGTCGGAGAACACAAGCCTTACAAGATAAGGAAGGAGAGAGCGAGAGAGAGAGAGAGAGAGAGAGAGAGAAAGGAGAGAAGGAGAAGTGTTAGAGTACAAGTTAGAAAGAAGAAGAGAGAAAGGAGGAGATAGGGAGACACGACCGAGAAGGAGTCATGGAGTAGAGTGAGATGCTGACACTGTGGAGTCTTCGCCCGTGATGTCGTCCTGCGCCTTGACCTCGAAAACGACTATAAACAACGAGTCAAAGTAGATCGTTGGTAACAAAATCCCTGCAAAAGGAGAAGTTGTTGAAATTTGGCCCACTGCGAAAGGCACTAAGGCACTGCTTCAGGCACACTGTGGCACGAACACACATGCCGCTCAAGTGCACGAGGGTTGTGGCAGCCTGCAACACCACGTAGGAGCGCCGTCAAACACTGTCAAGCACTGACAAACACTGTCACACGGCCACTGAGACACAACGACATCTCCAGCCTGGGCCTGAGAGCTCTGAGAGCCCTGAGGGCTCGGAGGGCCCTGAGGGCTCGGAGGGCCCTGAGAGCCCTGAGAGCTCTGAAAACTCTGAGGGCTCTGAGGGCTCTGAAAGCCCTGGGAGCTCTGAGAGCCCTGAGAGTGCGAGAGCGGAACGCTCTCCACGCTGTCCACGCTGTAGGCCCTCGTCTCCAGAGGCACCGCTCGGCTCGAGGCCTAAAGCCAAACGAATCACAGCGTAAGCAGCTCTGGGGCCCAACGTGCGTAGCACAACGTGCGAAGCACAACGTGCGTAGCACAACGTGCGTAGCACAACGTGCGTAGCACAAGGCAGGGGTGCAGAGTTTGCTTCTTGGGTCGCTGCTGCTTTCGAGGTCTGAAATCGCAAGCTCATGCGCCCTTGGAACAAAGAAAAAGATGTTTTGATGGCATCGCAGCATGCAACAAATAGCGCTGTTCTCGAACGCTATGGCGCTATGGCCTGCAGTGGACTTGAGCAAACTTCATCCCGGAGCCAAAGGTCAACCACGAGCTTTGCAGACCCGGCCCCGAGGCCCCGTGCCCGGGTTGCAGTCCTGATGGATCGTCAAGGGCGTGCCGTCAGATGGCCTGGACACCCGACGTATTCTCACAAAAAGCCAATCTGCTTCGGGCCACTTCGAGCAGCCACTGAGCCGCCTGTCCGCAGCGCCATACGGAACGACACACTTCCTGCGCGCAGCGCGCGAGGAAGTTGGACATGAACTCATGGGTTCCCCTACTACCCCCCCTCTAGACTCCCCGCCCCCTAGGTTCCCCCCCATAATTAAGGCTCATTAGGGATAACTAAGCTTGATTAAGGCTATTTAAGGGGGGAACCCAGGGGGGGAGTATAGAGGGGGGTAGTAGGGGAACCCATGATGAACATGAAATCGAAGCCGAGCAAGTACAAAAACAATTGAGCCAAAGAGCTGTGTGTCAATGTGCTGCAGCAAGAAGAGGTCGGTGCCCACTACGTGCTTCCGGAACAGGGCCGCTTGCCTGACGAAGACGGACCTCCCTCAGTCCTCTCCAACAACTATAGCCACTCGGTGCACCCGCGGCAAGGCCCAGAAACCAAAGAAGGCTCTGCGGCAGTGTCTGGGATCGCGCAGGCAGGGCCTCCAATGCAATGCAGTATGCACGTGTCGTTTTTGTAAAATCGCGCAGCTTTCTCATGCTTGCAAAAGTGAAACACATCGAAACATGCTGCGCCATACTTGCAACATCATTCGCCTGCTTGAAGTCGCACCTCTCCGTCTCCCACAAGCATTGTGGCCTCCTTGCCAAATTTCAAAACACGACAGGTGAGAAACCTCTCGGTGCTTGCGGATCCCGAGATGTGCTGGGTTGCTAGATGCTAGGGCAGCAACATCTCCCGAGCACTCGCTCAACACCAACCTGCGGCACCAGGAAAAGTAGGCATATGGCATATGATTTCATATGATCCACAAATGGTGGCATATGCGGGATTGGATCTGAAGGATTCCAAAGGATTCCGAAGCATTGCAAGGCCGCAACCTCGATCCAGCATTCGATCCGTCAGCTTCCAGTCTCACCTTACAATGCGGCGCACGAGCTGCAAATCTACGACTTCATCCGTATGGCAATCCACGCCAACACTGACCACATGCCGAGCCAGAAGCGCACAAGCCGTTGGAGTGCTTGAGGACCCGGGCCTGCTCTCGGAATGCAGATCTTCAAATCTCACTTGCGCGCACAGTGTGCTGTCACCCTGCCTCTGCAAGCCTTAGCTGCGAAAAGCTTCCAAACCATTCGCAAAAGCTCGCAACAGGTGCCTGTCGTTTCGTTCATTCTCGCACCAATCATATTTCTTGCAGGCACATGTAACCTTGCCGTTTGCAATGCTAATGTTGCGCTCACTCTGTTTTCTTCACATTCGTTCTTGTTACATGGGCGCTCATGCGTGGGCAAGATAGAGGTACATGCTGTTTTGTTGGGGGTGTTCGCGTTGTTCACTTCATTCACACACGATTGAGAATCTCACGCTTGCCTTATACATACAGTTTTGTGATCATGTGTTTACTGTGCTGTCCGTCAGTCCTGCGCTTTCTTTTATCCACAAACGTGCTGTAGCGAAATCAACATGTGTTGCTGGGTGGGCAATGCCTTAAAAAGATAAGGACACAAGTAGGAAAGGGCTGCGTGCTACGTGCATAGCATGGAGGGCGTGTGGTACTTCCTGGCCTTTGCTTGAGCAACACAGGCCTTACTTGCTTCCGAGGGCGGCCCAAAGGCAAATGATGCCCCGGAGCATGGTATGTGCTGAGCAAATGCGCTCAGCAAACGTGACCCGCGGACTGTGGTCGTTTACGGCTATTTCATGCTATTTCCTGGGTGCGGTGTGGATTTAAGGCCCATCCAAGACCTGACAGAAATCTCCCTTGCACCTTTTTGTGCTTGCTGTGCGTTGGTGCTTCTTGGTCTGTGTCAATCGATGCCTCTCAAAACAAAAATCTGCATAAATCGATGTTTCTCAACGCACAGGTCCATGAATGTCCATAATGAAAAACTACTGAGTAACTACTGCTACTTCTAGTTTGTATGTTGCCTCCGCCGCTGAAAAATTGCATCGCATGTTCCAGGAATGGATGCGGCCGGTGACGGGGCCAGGCGATGCTAAGCGGCTGAGGCGAAGGCGCTTGACCCTGTGGCGTCAAAGGCTCCAAAGTTGGCAAGGGCCTCGACTCTGTTTCCTGCACACGGCAATCTGCGGCAATCTGCGGCAATCTGCGGCGTGCGGACTATGGCGCAAGGTATGGCGCAAGGTATGGCGCAAGGTATGGCGCAAGGGTATGGGTCAAGGTAGGATGCATGGTAGGGTGCAACGCATGGCAAGCGACTCTGGCGCACGTGCTCAAGACAGCATCTCAGCCTTTGGCACAATTTGGAGAACTTTTGCGACTGCTTTGTGGCTGCAGTTGGCAAAATAAGGCAGCATGGACTGAAAGCCTTGGCTGTCGAGCTGCCGTGCTCGTGCTTTCAGAATTTGAACATCATCGGCGCTGAGTCCCTCCTGAGCCAATTGCTTAGTGAAAGGGTCATCACTACGACCTTTGGTGTCTGGGAGTGCAATGCAGGATGTGGAAAGGCCACTGTGGGACATGGCGATGATGGTGTCCAGCGGCTTGCTCGGGCAAGGTACCGAGTGAGTCGATGCCCAACAGCTCTTCAATGGGTATACCGCCTCTCTTGCAAGGATGCCACCGGCATTCTCCAGGGGTCCAAGACGTGGGACGACGCAGCGCTTCCCATGAAGCGTCCCTGCAGCCGGGCAGGCAGGGCAATTCTTGAGGCCATGTTCAACCGCTTCAGCCGCTTCAGCCGCTTCAGCCTTCTGGTTCTCACACACTCGATGCACAAAGATATAGGGGTGGGACGGACTTGACGGAGGTACATCATGGACTTGGAAAGTGATATAGGACGTCACGTCCAGCATCATGTACGGGTCGGTGTGCACACAGTACAACAGGTCCCGGCGCAACTCGAACTGGAATTCATGGCCCGCTTGGACGGATGACTTCGTCCAGCAACGGTCCCAGCCTTTTGATAGGAGCTCGGCCTCGATAAGTTTCCCTTTTTGCTCGAAGTCCTCCTCCGAATCTACCCCAAGCATCACATCGATGTCTCTGTCCACCATATCGACTTTCCCACCCGCTAACCTTCCAGACCTTGCGCCATGCCGCAAAAGAGCGATCAGCGTGCCCCTGCATGGCCACCACTCAATCTTCAAGCCCTGAAAAACCTCAGCCACCTCTTTCAACAGTTGATGGTACATGCTGTCTGAAATGAAATCTGGTGATTCTGACATTCTGGCCCATGCCTCCTGTGAGTCATATACATCCTGCCAAAGCAGGTCGTAATAGCGCTGGGTCCGCCGCAAGCCAGTTTCCAAAGGCCAAGCACGACTCCAAGCCCTGCTATCCGATACGTTCCCCATGTTCGTCTCCAACCTGTCTTGGAGCCAGGCGTAGAGGACATTGAATTCCAGATTCAGCTGAGAAGCTTCGCTGAACTGCTTGGCATGAACGTCTGCACTCTGTGCCGAACTTGTGTAGATGCTGACTAGAAGCCGCTCGCTTTGAAGCAACATGGCCTGCAGGGAGCAATTCATGCGCAAGTCAAGAATCAACACGCAGTTCTTATAAATCAAACACCACATGGACCTACCAGCGAAAGAAATCATGTAAAATGGAAGGGCAAGTGAACGTTCATCTGCCAACTTGGGTCGATCATTCAAAACGCTTCAACTTCCCGAAATGATACTTCTGAAGGCAGCACAAAAGCACAACACCACATCCCTAAAGACTAAAGAGCCTTAGGGACGCCCGCAAAGGAGCACGAAAACCCCCGAGAACCGCTTGTGGGCAGGCCCGCTATATCCTCACACAAAAACGTCTACGGGTGGTGGTGGTGTCACTGCTGCTGCTGCCTGACTGACCCAAGCGGAGGCCGAATGCTTGACTGGCCTAAGCGGAGGCCGGAGGCAGCGGCCTCAGCATGGCATGGAGAGGTGGGAGGGGAGCACGGGAGCAAGTCAAGGTCGGTGGAAAGATGGTCCTGCAACTATGGGTCGGCCAGCTCGGCCGTCGCCTCAGCCGGTGCTCCAGCCCGGCGTAAGACAGCTCGTCGGGCATTTTCACGTTGAAGTGTGACGGCAAGGGTCTGGAAGAGGCGGCTTCGACAGCCCTCCCCGGACTTGGCTCGGAGGGCTTGAGCAAGCTCCCCCCACGCCTTGGTGGCTGTGGGCCCCCATCCTCCCCAATGGCCTCAGCAACCAGAGGCACGAACTGCAACCCTACAGCCTGACACTGAGCAGCAGTGTCGTGCTTCGTAGTCGGCGGCTGTCCGGGTCTGAAAGGGTCTGGGCTGTGGTTCCTTGCCTCAGGCCACTAGTGACCGCGAGGTCGAAGGCGGCTGGGCCGTGGAACCCTCAGGAGCCCGGCTTCGTCAGGCCGTGGGGGCAAGAGAGGCTTTTACACCTCAGGATGCAGGCCGGCGGCTTGTGCACGGGCAGCCAAGACCGAACGTAGCCTGTTGTGGCGTTTGGCGCGGTCCCCCCCGCACGGGCAGCTCCTCGCATGATCCTCAAAGCTGTCATTGACGGCATCGCGGAAAGGACAAGCCGAGTCCTTTTCCCCCACAGGCAGGCGAAGGCGGAGAAGCACAAAAATCCTGAAGAGGGTGGGAGCAATGTGGAGACCTAGTGCCTCGGCAGGCGGGGCGTGCAGCCAGGCCCCTGCGCGGGGTTGTTGCACCAGGGCAGTCCGAGCCGCGGAGCGTGGCTGCGACAGCTGCTGTTTCAGGTGGGTTGGCGCTGGAGTTGGGACACGGTCGGCGGGAAGGACCTCCGCTTCTTCAGTGCCAATCACAGATGCCAGGTACGCAGCGAGGCAGTGGAGAAGGACGCCTGCACCCAAGCCTGAGGAGGCATGGGGCCAGTGCAAGACGCCTCCAAACACTCGCGCACAGCAGAGTCAAAAGTGTCCAGAGCCGGGGCATGCAGCACAGGCGGCGTCACCTGCATGCTGTAGAGAACACGGCCAAAGGCAGCGCACTGCCGAAGCAGCAGGAGGGCAGTCTGAGGGTCCGGCAAGGTGGCCAGGGTCTGGAGGAGGGGTGGGTTGGCATCAACGCGTTTGGACACTGTGTGGGCTTGGCAGAATTCGCCGAGGAGGGTGAAGGCTCCATTGAACAACCCATCCCCATTGCAAATGGTAAGTACACACTTGGACGGGTTCAAGACCAGACCAACCTGTCGGGCTGCTGCAGTGAGGCGGGCCAGAGATGCGCTGATGTGGGTGACAGGGCCGGCTAGGCACACATCATCATGAAAGGCAAGCTCCGGCCGTTGGGCGTCCGGTCCGGAGCGAGCTGCACGCAGCGCGAGCTGCAAAGCAAGTGCTGGACACCAGCTTCAGAGCTGAGCGGGCTGCCTTCGAACAGGAGCCTGGTGTGGTGCCCATAACACCATTCAGCATATGGGGCAAGGCCAGGCAAATGGAGGCGAACTTCACGCAGGAGGGCGGCGCGGTCAACACTGTTGAATGCGTTAGTAAAATGAAACCGCCAGGAAGCACTGGCTAGGACTACCGGGCCACATGGACGGCGGCTTCAGCCCCATGAGGCGCGGATACGCCAAGCTGCAGCGGAGCAAGGCAGTCTCGGGCAGCGTCCTTAACAGCAGCACAAAGGCACTTGGATGCTAAGCGGCGCAAACACTCCCCTACCAAGGTGAGGACACAAGCAACTGCACGACCAAGGCGAGGTTGGCTGCGACCTCATCCCCATGACCAGAGCGGAGGGCCGCATCCCAGTAGGTCCTGCCGCGCAGCAGCCACTGCATCCGCACAAAAAGATGTCTGGAACCAAAGCACGCGCAGGGGGTCCAAGAGCAAGCAAGGCAGGTCTGACTGGCTGAGCGCGCGGGTGTTTGGCACGGAGGGCAGCGAGAACACTGTCAGCGGTAGAGAGCAAGGGAGGGCTGACAAGAGCGGCACAAGCGCGGGACAACTCAGCTTCAGCCGCCAAACGCATGCACCGCTCACAGCCTGTTCTCTGCGCCTGGCCCACGGGGTGGCGGGGTGAGAAGAGCCTTGGGCAGCATGAGGAGCTCAGTCCAGGCAGCGAGGGAATTCGAGGTGGCGACATTGGAAAGGGCCCTGGCAAGACACTGGCCCCAAGCATTGCTGTGGCGGAGGCACACAATGTCAGCCGTAAAAACCTCAGCCAGCTCGGCCGACTGCTGAATATGGTTGATTCCTAGGCGTGCTGCTCCATCTGCAGCAGCACGTCTAGCGGCAGGGCGACAGCGCGGATGCGTGCCACCGAAGCGTTTGCTAACCAGGGTGTTGCATTGGCTGCACAGGTCCAAGTTGTGAGCAGTCAAATATCAAATAAGCAAGCGGTACCTGGCCCGAGAAAGTGCCTACCCCGTGATCATTGAGATGAGCTCGCATAGCTTCGTGTGAAGCCCAACCAACACTAGCCCGACAGGAACCGGGGCCACCATCCACAGGGCAATGAACTCGAGGAGCACGGGCAGCAGGGGGTGGAGAGCGCTCACGCTCGGAGTTTGGCGGGTCAGGACCCGGGTTGGAAGCCTCCCCCACACGAATGCCGCGCAGCGGCCAACCCCTCCACCGCCGGTTGCGACGGGACACCCTCTGCCCCCCAGCCATGCGCCGGGCAGGCAGCCAATAACGGCGAGGGCGCGTTGACCAGCTGGCAGATATTGAAATGCCAGCTACGGCTTTGAGACTTGGCACACTCCTTCCACCGCGCATCCAGGCGACCAGTCCGCCTGTCACGGCGACTCAGAGCGGGGGTTTGCAAGGGATGGTCAGGGCCATTCAGCGGTCTGCAAGCTCCAGACGTCGCAGTCCCGAACCACAGGCGACCAGGGCGCCCCACCACCAGGAAAAACCGGAGGAACAGCAGCAGCAAGCGGGCCAAGCCGGGAGCGGGGCCATGGCTGGACAGGTAAGCCCACAGTCCTCTTATAGCTCCCCCCCAGCTGTGCTCCCTGCACCCAGGAGCGGGAACTCACCCCCCAGCTGCGGCAACTCCGCCCAAGAGCAGTGATCGATGTGGGCAACCAAACTAGGAGCAACGCTTCCTGTCCTTCAGAAAAGGCTTCGCTAATGTAGTTTCCAAGAGGCTCCATCCTTTCTGGTTTGGGATCCGATGGTTCCGTCTTGTCTGTTACTCGGAAATTCTCGAGAATTCGGGGCTGTAGTTGCGCTGCACTTGGCCTGCAATAGGGCAAAAGGGCAGACAGCAGCCACATCCCTCTTTCTTGCCAGCAACTTCTCCACCAAGCTGTAGTCAGAAAGTAACGGCACCCCACTTTCATAGAAGCCTTCAGTTAATGTTCGGAGATCATCCAGGGACATTGCTCCAAGAGACGTGCCGAAACCAGTCGTAAGACATCCCATGAACCTCACAGCTGCGCTGTTGCACACAAGGGATTCATGCACAACAGCAGTGTTGCGAGACAACACAAGCAACGTGCTAAACGCGCTGAGCGACACCTCCTGCAGCGTGGCGAAGGCTGGGCTACTTGGCAACAGCGATGCCTTGAGGTCTTCGGAGACCGGTGCCGCCAGCAGCCGGCGTGGTGAGGATGAGGATGTCAAGGATGTAGGGGACGTGTCAGGCGCAAGTGATGCAGCGGCAAGGGCCAGCAGCGCCACCGGGCGAACAACTTGCATGGCAATCACAAACCACACGTTACCTACCGCTGGAACATGTCGATGGCCTCTTGAGGTAGGGCAAGTCGCATGACAAGACAAAACAAAGAAGTCACGCAGATCGCACCATCAGCAAGAATTGATTCTAGTAGCCCTATTGCCTGTCTTGTCCGAGCGGGCCCGCTCCACCTCAGCCATGTTGGCTTGGCAACATCTCCCCAACCCGCAGCTGAAGAAACTGTCAAATTCCCTCACCATTGGTGGTGGTAGCAACATTCGCGGAAACGATCGGGTACAACAACCATATGCTGATAATCCGTCGAGACCAGCTGGCACAAGTAGTCTGAACTTACTTTCCTGGGACCTTTTCGTCCTTTGTTTCGGGCCCCTGCTCGGGACCTTGATGCTTTTGTCGACACAGCCGATGCCCTTCAGAGCTTTTGGCAAGTGAGCGGCATGGAAAACATGTGATCTTAGAAAGCAAGCGAACCAACACACTAGGAAGGATCACCGGCAATCCCTTTCACACGGCTTCTTTTCTTTTGTTGTTTGAACAGCAAGTCCATAAAGACATGCAAACTTTCGGGCATATCCATTCAGGGGCGCCGTTAGGCACGTCATCTCCTCAGGTCTTCGTCTTCTTCGAGGAAACGCCAAGCCGACTACCACCTACATCGAACAGTCCTATAAGCATGCATACGGTATAGAAATTCTTCCGGCTTCATCCATGGTAGGGGGCTCCGCAATGACTTAGAGTATGCTGCACAGCACAGTGTTTTCCTGCATCTCCGCCCGGAAGCGTAGGACCTAGTGAGCCAGCCGTAGAAAGGTTTTTAAGCAGGTGAGGCTGCCCTAAGCGGTTGCCCCAAGGAGGAATGTAGAAATATACCCTCCTCAGTCATTGATGGTGGACGGTAGAGCTGGCAGCATACAATCAATTCTTTCCTCTGTAAGTTTCAGGCCGAAGTCCAAAGAAACAATCATTTGCAGCATTAGGATGCAGCAACTCCTAAGACAAACCATTGTGTTTCTTGCCATAGAGAGAAAGAGATCCTCGCTTTGCTTGCCATGGACTCCTTATTCAAGTAAAGACGCACTGCTTTACAGCCTGAGGGGTCTGCTCATGAGGCTATTCACCCCCTCAAGGTTCAAACGAGTTACACGCGAGCAAACCAGGTCGACTCGCAGCCCTTTGTTGAACCAAAATAGCTACGCCTAGACCTCGACGGTGAGGTGAAACTATACGCACAGCAAGCCTAGGCTACCACTCCACCCTCATTTCGCATCTTTCTTGAGTTTTAACACAGCCGCCTCCTCCCTTAGGCCGAGGCGGACAACGCAGCGTTTGCAATTTGTGTCTTGACAACGTAGCAAGCAAACACCACCCAGCACCATCAGCCCAGCACACCCGACCTGTTCTCAGTGGACAGGTGGACAGGTAAGGACTGTTCAGGGGGAGAGGTAAGGACCTGACACATCCCTGAAGATGCCAACCACTCCAGCAGTGACCTCGGCTGCTGTGTTGACCCCGAGTTGTCCAATGAAAACAATTCCAGGTGCCAGCTGTCGCAGATAGCAGAAACCGCCCCAGGAATGTGAGCGCACCTCACCCAGTCACCCGATAACATCCTGCAGTCCTCGACTCTTTCTGAAAACACTTCTGATCTGGTTCCGCAAGGTGCCTGGATCATTGCCGGCCAGACGCTTCTTGCCCATATGCTCTGTTGTTGCTGTTGTTGGACAACCCTGCCCTAGGTATTTCGGTGAAGATAGTGCTCACCCTTGTGCCTGCAGTAGGGCTCAGTAGGAGTGTTGCGCACCCGCCCGAGGCCAAGCTGAATCAACGCAGGGCAAAGCCTTCAAGGAAGCGTGCAGCGTAGCAGTTTGGCAATGCGATGGGGTGCCTTCACTTTTTCTTGCCGGCAAGCGAGCATTAAATTCCAAAGATAATTGCAACGACACCTAGGCCGTAAGCAGCAGCAATCGACCAGCGCTTGTCCCGAAGCCAGATGGGAATGTCTTGCCAGAACCTTGCCAGCATGTCAATCTTCTCCAGTTATAGGCACAAGAGTCTGAGGCAGCTGCTTCGAGAAGATTGCGGTCAGGCCGCCAAAAGCGATCTTTGGGGCGGCTTCGGATGCCAGAGCTAGTGCCAAGCGAACGGAGTGGCAGCCGAGTCCGTGGCCAGGCGCGTGACTTGGCGGCCTTGTGTCTCGATGGTGTGCTGCATTGCCTGCGACTGCACCTCCAAAGTTCGCCTCATCGCCTTAAGCGATATGAAGGCTTTGACAGTGCTTTGACAGTGCTTATTGACAGGACGACCACACAGCCAGCATCAGCAGAATCACAAGACAGAGGAAGCTGAGCTTGAGGACCCTGGTCTGTTCTTCCAAGATGCGCCTGTCTTCTGCCGCTTGTCGAAACAAGTCTCAGATGCACCCTGGCCAAACTTCTCCGGAGATGTATTGGCGTGCGAACTGCGCAACGTTTGGCATTGCTTGGCTGTCGTTTGGTGGTTGCTCGCATGTCTCCAATGGCGAATTTTCGTGGGTCATGCAATGAGTCACGATTGGTCATCGAACAATCAGCAGGTTGCCGAGGCCCAGGCTGGTGTTCGCGCATTGCAAAGAGCAGGATTTCTCGCGTCTCGGAATTCATAAGAGGCATCGCCGCACCTTTGAAAAGGCTACGAGGTCATTGAAGTGTTCGCTGAAGAGTTCACTGAAGCCCATCACACACCAACTTATCCCAGAATTTTCTCTGCTCAGCAGCGGGCGGACGCCTGCAGAAACCCATGCTTGAATATCCTCCTCTGTGATGACATCCTGCGCGCAATGAGAAATCCAGACAGAAGTCTGACAAGAAGCGTCCGTGCTTGGGCCCAATCCTAAGTTTTCGCTCGGATCCAATTGCGCAATTCTTGGGAGCTTGCGCTTCGGCGGTCCTTAGCCCTTGGCAAAGACCAGGAAGATGTGCCCATCACAGGACTTGACTCTGATCTGAGACCGTCAGTGAAGTACGTCCATTCTCTGCAGTGCTGCCAATCACCATATGCTAAGTGACCAATATGGGCATAAGAGGCAGGTCTAAGCTTAAGAGTCGCATGCACTACTGCACGGCTGTCAAGATACTCAAAAGATATGTCACCAAATAGAACTACACTCGAGTTACTCTCAGCTCTGCGTATGTTAACGTGTACGGTTTGTGCCATGTTTGTGAACCTGTTTGTGCTGTTTGTGCAACTACTTGGACCGAACTTGGAGCCTTCTCTCTCAAAACATATGGCGAGTCACACGGTGTGCTGGTTCTTTGGTGCCGTGACCCCCAGGGAGAATCCGCTCTCAGGGTGGGGGTACCTTTTTCTGTGTCCAGTGACAGGTGACTTGAGAGCACAGCACTGTTTAACAGCAGCTCTGCGTGAGATACAGCACTTGACGGGCGTGCAAAGAAGTCCAAAGCTCGCCTACGAATTCGACATGTTGCTCAATTGGACAATGAGCCTGGTACTGCGATGGCCAGCTCATCT